AAATAAATACATAAATCACTTTTCTTTTCTTCCTTTTTTTTTTTTTTTTTTGCTCAACAATATACATATTAAAAAAAATAGTTATATTATTTGTCAAAATAAAAGTAGTAATTTTACAGGGTAATCACACAAAATAATATAGTAGTAATTTTAGAATTTGTTTCAAGTCCAAAAATAAACCAAAGTAAATGTTTCGTTTTTCTTTCCTTGAAGAGACAGGAATGAGATCTATACTGAAAAAGAAAAAAGTAATCTATTTTCGAACACATAACTTTAGCAATTTTATCTCCCCAGCTACGGGTTAATTAGTAAGACTTATATCAGTATATCATTATTATCCACGCCACCCACAAAAAAAAAGAAAGAAAAATCTGCAAAGGGTTGATAAGTCGTAGAATACAAATAAATCAATCAATTATTGATTCCTTCTCAAAGATAATTTTAAAAAGTAAAGAATAGATTATATTTAATGATCAGTATCGATAGTCGACTATGACGGTTTGTCAATATTTATTTTTGCATAAAGATGAAAATGTGGTAACATGGCTGAAAAAATGATTGAAGAAAAAAGGGAAGATGTTGGCTTACATCAGCGATTCTTAAACTTTTTCATTCATGACTTTATTTTTCATTACGAGATTTTTCGCGGACCCAGTTATTAAATATGAAATAAAACAAATAAATACATAAATCACTTATTTATTTGCTCAACAATATACATATAAAAGCAGTAGTTATATTATTTGTCAAAATAAAAGTAGTAATTTTAGGATTTGTTTCAAGTCCAAAAAAAAACCAAAGTAAATGTTTCGTTTTTCTTTCCTTGAAGAGACAAGTTGTGATCTACGCTGAAAATACAGATCCGTTGTCATTGCACTAATCGCAAAGGCGTCGCACGCGTGTTTTATTACCGCAGCGCATGCGTGGTGCATCACTTTAAATATTTGTGAAATAATATAGAAATTGAAATTCAAGGGTTTTGAATTTAATTTTCCCCACCCCAACATTTCGCTTCGCGACCCAGTTTACAGTCGGGACCCATAGTTTAAGAATCGCTGGTTTAAAGTATCCGAAGTCTTTGCACACTACTGTACTTATATTTATTAGCTATATATCGTGTGAGATTCAGCTTATAATATCTAAACCCTTTAAAGCTATTGATACCTTGTTTTCGAGATATAGAATTTTCTATGCTATCAGTATAACATGAATATAGATTAATAAATAAAACCAAGATATATAAACCATAGAAATAGGAGCATTAAAGCTAAGGATAGTCACACTAAAGTGTTAGAAAACTGAATAAGGTTGCCTAAATAATGCATCTATGTGCATTGAACACCAAATATTTTAAAATTTAAATTTAATGCTAAGCAATCCTGTTTCATCGGCGTTTCTTATTAGCAGTCTTATCATTTTATGAACAGTTCTGTTTAGGATCTATTCTGCTCACCCTCAAATGGGAAGGAGCTATAAATTGCGCTCTAAAAATAGCCTGCTTCACTCACACCTGTCTGGAAAAACGCTTCCAGAAAGTTAATCATCATGCGGTCAAAAAACACCAAGAATGAATACCATGAAATTTGAAGCATGGATCATTGAAACTAATAAGCAATCCCAACTCAGAGAGAACAGAAAGAAGAACGGCTTTTGTTGGCTATTAACTGAACAAGTTCAATTTTGACATTGTTACTGACTAAAACTTGGAGAAGGGAACTCAAAGAGCAAGTCCTGTAGACTCCCTTCTAGAAAGGACTTGAACATAAACACCCAAGAATCCATAGAGTAGATTTTGTCACCCGAAACTATCTCATTCAAAAACTGACAGAACTACTTATGAGGATCAATGAACGCCTTATGGCTCTCAAAATCCAATTAGTAAAAAAAAACAACTCGTCACGATCATCAGTGCGCATGCACCAACTTTGGATGCTGAAGATAAAGTCAAAGACACCTTCTATTGATATATCCTCTACTCCCAAGGAAAACAAGATCATCCTTTCAAGAAAATTCAATACCAGATTTAGGGAAAAAAATCACGAACTATGGAATGGAAGGAAGGAATTAGTAACATCAACGCCATTTCTTAGTAAATGTGCCGAACAGAACCTGGTGATCACTAACATCCTGTTTCGTCAGAAAGAGAGTTATAAAATCTCCTGGCAATATCTACGTTTCAAGTAGTGGCCATTTATTGATTATGTCAATCCCGAAATCAACTGGATGTACCCAAAACGAGAACCTTCGCTGGTGCCGATGAGTACTGGTCAAACCATTGTCTCATCTTATCAGTTATAGAAATGAAGATCAAAGACAAAAGAAAACATCAAAACACGAACAATATCATCAAGAAGTACAATGTTGACAATTTCCAACAGAAACTTCTAGACTGCTTCAACAACTACTATCATCCGTTAAAAGACCACTGAGACCACTGAAGAATGCTATTATGACATCATGTAAAGATGCCATTGGCTTCAAGACAACGAGTAATCAGTGATAAACAACTACAACCAATCACCAAGAAAAGACAAGTCTTCATTAACTTGCAAAACAACCACGACAAAAAGGAGGCTATTCCAGCAGGCAAAGGTAGAAGTCTAGAAAAATCTGAGAAATGGAGAGAAAAAGCTACTGAAATTAAACAACTCGCAGATGCCCATGACACTCGTGACTTCTTCAATGCTACAGAATCCATATTTAGTCCACGAGCACACGCACGAGCTCACCTCAAAAGTAAACATGGATCAACACTATTGAAGGCTAACACTGACGTCAATGCCAAATGGAAAGAGTACTTTGAAGAGTCTGTCGCTCACTTTCTGAGCGACGGTTCGGTTTACCTCTCTGTCTACGGACGGAGAGGAACCCGAAGGAGGCTACGCCGAAGGGCGGAGTCTCCTTCGGGAGGTAAACTCGGCCCAGAACCCGTTTATACGGGTTCAAATGGGCTATTTTTTGGCCGAGCCAAATGGCTCGGAAAGCCCACGTTAAAAAGGCCTTGTGCCACATGACGCCCTCGTGGGGGGACGACTAAATATAGTCTGTCGTTCACTTTCTGAGCGACGGTTCGGTTCAACTCTCTGTCTACGGACGGAGAGGAACCCGAAGGAGGCTACGCCGAAGGGCGGAGTCTCCTTCGGGGAGGTAAAACCGGCCCTGAACCCGTTTATACGGGTTCAAATGGGCTATTTTTTGGCCGAGCCTAATGGCTCGGAAAGCCCACGTTAAAAAGGCCTTGTGCCGCATGACGCCCTCGTGGGGGGACGACTAAATATAGTCTGTCGTTCACTTTCTGAGCGACGGTTCGGTTCAACTCTCTGTCTACGGACGGAGAGGAACCCGAATGAGGCTACGCCGAAGGGCGGAGTCTCCTTCGGGAGGTAAACCGGCCCTGAACCCGTTTATACGCGTTCAAATGGGCTATTTTTGGCCGAGCCTAATGGCTCGGAAATTCCCACGTTAAAAAGGCCTTGTGCCACATGACGCCCTCGTGGGGGACGACTAAATATAGTCTGTCGTTCACTTTCTGAGCGAACGGTTTGGTTTAACTCTCTGCTTTCGGGCGGGAGGAACCCGAAGGAGGCTACGCCGAAGGGCGGAGTCTCCTTCGGGGAGGTAAACCGGCCCTGAACCCGTTTATACGGGTTTAAATGGGCTATTTTTTTGGCCGAGCCTAATGGCTCGGAAAGCCCACGTTAAAAAAGGCCTTGTGAACATGACGCCCTCGTGGGGGACGACTAAATATAGTCTGTCGTTCACTTTCTGAGCGACTGTTCGGTTAAACTCTCTTCCTACGGGCGGGGAGGAACCCGAAGGAGGCTACGCCGAAGGGCGGAGTCTCCTTCGGGAGGTTATCGGCCCTGAACCCGTTTATACGGGTTCAAATGGGCTATTTTTTGGCCGAGCCTAATGGCTCGGGAATGCCCACGTTAAAAAGGCCTTGTGCCACATGACACCCTCGTGGGGGGTGACAGAATATTGTGAATATTGTCCGTCATTCACTTTCTGAGCGACGGTTCGGTTCAACTCTCTGTCTACGGACGGAGAGGAACCCGAAGGAGGCTATGCCGAAGGGCGAAGTCTCCTTCGGGGCGGTAAAACCGGTCCTGAACCAGTTTATACGGGTTCAAATGGGCTATTTTTTGGCCTAGCCTAATGGCTCGGAAATGCCCACGTTAAATAGGCCTTCTGCCACATGACGCCCTCGTGGGGGGACGACTAAATATAGTCCGTCAGTACAAGCTTGTTGGCGAGATTATTTAGCAGACTGCTATTTTCAAATATCATCATATTTTTATGTAACCTATTTGGGTGGTGGTGGTGCAAAAATTTCCTTTACCTTTACAAGGTTAGGTGAATTAATCCTGTGCCGATTGGAAGTATCCCGAACTCGCCGGTGTAGGCAACCTTTTCGCATGGTCCCTCCAATATGCTGCTGGCATCTTGGTGGTGTCGCAAAGGATCAGTACAAGAAAATATCCCGTGACTCAAGCGCGACATACCCAGCCGTTTACAGTCTTGATATGACTGTTTTGCCTCTTCAATTGAATGTCAGACCGATGACCGAAATGGACCAATACACATCACGCACCGCTTCCAGGAAGGTATTTTCGTAATTGCACGTGACGAAATGACAGACAACTGAGTCGGATCGGACGTGCAAGCAATATAATACCTTCGCCAGTTCACGTGGTCCGGCTTGACATTTGGTTTGGAGACAGCTGATGAGTTCGCAGGCTTAAGCTATGTGGGAAAGGCTCATGTGGGCCTTACACCCAATGACAACTGTTCTGTCATCCCGTGATAATTAGTATGGGTGAACTCTTACAGCCTCCTGAAAATCGAAACCGGTCGTGATGATGAGGGGCTTGATCAAGCCAGCTGTTTACGGTCAGGACTTTATCGTACCCTTAGATGCTCTCCGATAAGACCCACATGGATGCATCTTAGCGATTCTCTATAGAATATTTTCATCAGACTTCGCACGTTGGGGTGGATTACAATGGCAGTTCCCTATTCACCTGATTATGCACATTAATGCGGGTTACCTTCCACGCCCATGAAGTTCGAAGATGAAACGAGATGACGTCGCGCACCGGCAAAGGGCGAAAATCGGTGCGTGTCCGAGACGGCGTGGTGAAAGTTTTGAAGCCGCGCGGGGAGTGTCCGTCGGGAAAAAACCGGCTCGCGACGTACAACAGATCTCGTTTGCTCCGTCCCGGGCAGAAGGATGCAGTACGTTTGAGAAACCGGTAGAAGATGGCTCTCCGACTTTGCGATGATGGTGGGGAGTTTAGAAGTCGCTTTCTGTCTACGGGACACCACGCATCGATCTGCACACCGGAAATGGGTTGCGAATTCAGAGGGGAGCGGGTATAAAGGGGACGAGTATAAAGGCGATCAACAAAGACCGCGTCGCTTCAATCCGACGGGCATCCCGAAATGAGGTCTATCCCAGCCTTATTAAGCACACCCAAATGTGTCCCCACGCGATTGGGGTGAAAGATCTGACCCGTTTACTCCTGAACGGTTTCACGCTCTCTTGATCTCTCTCTCTCTCCAAAGTTCTTTTCAATTTTCCCTTACTGAACTTGTCATCTCGTCCCAGTTTTTATCCTTATATGGAGCATATCACCTTTTCCCAAACAACCCGACTCTTAGATCGAAGGCTGTCGTTCACCGTCCGCACTGAATCAATGAATAAAACGCCGTGGACGCTCCCGATAGTAATTGGTTTTCGTCCCGAACTACGCGGGACGAAAACCAATTACTGCATTCGACCCATGCACCACACGTTCCGAAGCTGTTTACTTGCAACGGGATTCGGCATTTGACTTCTCTCGGTTCACTTACCGTTACTAAGAAAAATCCCTGTTGATTTCCTCCGCTTAGTTCGTCCTGGGTAAGACGATAAACTACATCCAGCAGCAAGGCCTCTGATCAGGAGGATTTGAGGAGCGTGGAACCACCTCTTAATTGCTGATGTTCCCAGGTCTACCCTGACCCGGGGTGGTAGCACCTGTTAGGCTCCCAGCTATGGGCAAATAGTTAGACCCTATACTTGGGTCAAAATACTATGAAAGTGTAAAAATAGATTTTAATACCACAAATACTTTGTAAAAATTTTTTTTATCAGCAATAAATATTTGAAGGAAAAAACTATTACCAGGAATACATTTTTTGAAGGAAAAACATTACCAGCAATAAAAACTTTGTCGGAATTAAATAAAACATCGAGGTTGATATGCCGTAAAACACAACAAACCAAACCTAACTTATAATCAGAAACAAGGACTCATTCCGTCCTGGGTATGACGATGAACTACATGCAACAGCAAAGCCCCTGATCAGGACGTTTTGAGAAACGTGGAACCACTTCTTAATTGCTGGTGTTCTCAGGTACACACTGACATAGGGTGGTAGCAGCTGTTAGGGTCCCATTTATGGGCAAATAGTTAACCCCCAAACTGGGGTCAATAACTTAAGTTTTAATACCAGAAATAATTTGTAAAAAAATATTATTACCAGTAATACATTATTTCCAGTCATACATTTTTGAAAAAAAAAATATTACCAGCTATATATTTTTGAAGAAAAAATATTACCAGAAATATTTTGGAAGGAAAATATATTACCAGCATTGCATTTTGGGGAAAAAAATATCACCAGCAATAAAAATTTTGTCAGCATTAAATAACCCATTGAGGTTGATATGCCGTAAACCAAACCAAACCAAAACAAATCTTCGATCAAGTTCAGCGGGTGCTCTCGTTCGAGCCGAAGGCGACGCTGTTAAAACGATTTTCACGACGAGGCAGGTCAAAACGCTTAAGGTTTTCTTACGACCTCTGAACGAAACGAACATGTCGTACAACACACGTCTTAGTCGGATAGAAGGCAGGGATCGTGGCTCGACGTGCTATCACTGCAGACGACATTGACGACATCGTTTTTCAATCAATGACCGCTCGCGGTCCTGAAGAAACCTAACCCGCGGTCTGCAAGCAACAAATAAAAGTGACGTCTCTCTTTCGACAATCCGTTTTCCATCGCGTGCGAAAAACAAAAGAGAGATAAGAATATATGTAATTTTAAAATGTGTTTAATTTTAAAATGTTTAAAAAATGTTTAAAATGTGTTTAAAATCTAAAAAGTTTAATAATGCAACCTTCTTTACGTACTGTAGCATTACTTCACTTTAAACGAACTATTTTTTTTTATTTTAAAAAATTATATCCTTTACATATATATAAAAACAAATGTATACATGACGTCACTTGCATACAGTAACACGTAAATTAAAGATTATAACATTTTTAAAGATTATGGAAATTAATCAAACGTTTTCTTAACTGCAAACGGATAACATGATTTCTTGATAATAACTAATGATAGTATCAGAGACACTATGAACTTTAGACAATTTAGTCGTAATCTTAACCCAGTTTTACTACAACTCATATCGTGACTAGAAAAATTCATTAGAAAATTGAATAGACATATTTTGTCAGTTATATTTAATAAAAGATTTCGAGTGACACATTTAGCGCTCGAAAGAATTTGGAAAAGTTATTGCTTCTGAGCGGAAACTAGTATAATGAATCGAACAAAAATAAATAAATATAATTTTAAACAAAGGACTTCTGTTGGTCTTCAACCAAACTTACATATTCATCCAAATATTACGACGAAGACATTTTCATCATCTTCATCATCATCATCATCATTCCTCCCCCTCCTCGTTCTCTGTATATATATATATATATATATATATATATATATAAATATATTAGGAGGATTTGATAATTATATTTAAGTAATTCATCGAGTCTGATAGAAACCTCAACAGAATGCAGAAAGCACTGGACGGCCGTTTGCAATCTCTTTGTCACCGAGGCCCGTTGGAACAGTTGGTATGATGTTTGCTTGACAACCTAACTGTCAGGGTTTCAATTCTCGGTAGTGGATGCGCACTGCTGATGAGTCCCAAATATAGGACGAAACGGCCGTCCAGTGCATTCTGTTGAGTTTTCAGACTCGATGAATTACTTATATATATAGGCATTATTTTTCATTGATGCATGTTTCATTAAATAAAATAGACAAGTTTTGTCTATTTATTTTAAGTAAGTTCCTTTCATATTGTCTGATAAGCTTAATCACATTATCATTGAAGGACGAAAGGAAATCGCCACATTGATACATGTTTAAATACAATCTAAGCTTTCGGCTTACATAAGCCATTATCAAAGATGACAATTACTTTTCAATATATCAAACAATACACGGACGAAACAATAATGATAGTCTGTTTTTGTTGCCTGAAAAATTTCAAAGCAACGACTAACTCGTGTATACGAGACGCGGAAGGGAAAATTGCGTCGCAGCTCGTGACGACACACATGACCACGCGAGAGTGAAAATGAGAAGTATTAAGTATGGGAAGCCGTTAGTATAAACCAATGGCCTCTGTTATCAATTATAGGCATTTAAGAATATTTGTGGAGATTTCGTAGTTTATTTTGTTCAGGTTAGGTTTCAACTGTTTTATGTGTGTGTGTATAGAAATGTTGTTTTCGGAGCAATAGTTGAATGTATGTTGATGGTCTAAGTGTGAGAGTCTCCGACTGATGTCAAGTGAGTTGAGTTTCCATATCGACATTAGGCAATCATATGTCTAGCCACACTCATAAGCTGCGAAACAGTCTGCCTGTGGTATGTATGACTACACACACACACACACACACACACACACACACATATATATATATATATATATATATATATATATATATATATCTTTACACACAGAGAAAGGCGCGCTGAAACAGGCAACAACACCTCTTTTATACATGCTTCGTTAAAGACCACTAACACGGTACTGCGATTAAGCTTTATATTTAATTTCTCTTATGTTCGTACACTTTGTGTCCAGAAAAGAAAAATCTCTAAACGAACACAGGAAAAAAATTAAATAAAAGCTTAATTTTATTTGTATTGCTTATAATTTGTTCTTTAACGAAACATGTATAAAAAAGATTTTGCTATAAAAATACATGATATTTTATATATATATATATATATATATATATATAGAGAGAGAGAGAGAGAGAGAGAATAAGAGAGAGAGAGAGACTTAGGAAATGCTTGGGACAATTGATCATATTCAAAAAGTTTTTATTTGATCTTTCCCACCAAACGAAAGCTGTAAGAATGCAAGAAAAACTAAATAAAACATTAATGAAATTTCCCTTGTCCGTCATATTTAACGAAAGTTGTTTAAAAGAAAGTTTGCTACCCAAATATAAACTATGAATACGTTCACACCAAAGGTTGTTTTGTGTTTATTGGTAGCTAGCAATATAAAGGTCGCATTTGATTGTATTATGAGAGGTGTCATATAAAGCGAGTAGTTTATAATTTCAAAGTTGGCGTATTTATTTTAATGTCTGATAAATAACATCGAAGAAAATAAGTATAATTTCTGGCTTCTTCTGCATACCGTGTTACTTCAGAATGTAGGTGATCATGGCTTTCCACAACTTCCTATCATTTGTAGTTCTTAGCAATGTGTGTCTTTTTACTATCCTCCCCAGTCCTTATTATGTCATCCGTTTGCACAAGCTTTTTAGGTAGGTTGATTATGGCTCTCCACAACTTCCTATCCTTTGTAGCTTTTTGCAATGTCGGTCTTTTTATTATCCTTCCCAGTTCTGTTTGCCATTCATTTACACAAGCACGTTTGGTAGGCTGATCATAGCTCTTCACAACTTCCTATCCTTTGTAGCTCTTAGTAATGTTTGTCTTTTCATCATCCCCCCAGTCCCTATTTTGTCATCCATTTACACAAGCTTGTTAGATAAGTTGATCATGTCTCTCCACAACTTCCTATCCTTTGTAGCTCTTAGCAATATTTGTCTTTTTACTATTCTTCCTAGTCCCTGTTCTGCAATTCATTTACAGAAGCTTCTTAGTTAGATTGATCATGGCTCTCCACAACTTCCTATCCTTTGTAGCTCTTAGCAATATTTATCTTTTTACTATCACTCCCAGTCCCTGTTCTGCCATCTATTTACACAAGCTTGTTAGGTAGGTTGGTCGTGGCTCTCCACAACTTCCTATCCTTTGTAGCTCTTAGCAATATTCGTCTTTTTACTATCACTCACAGTCCCTGTTCTGCCATCGATTTACACAAGCTTGTTAGGTAGGTGGATCATGTCTCTCCACAACTTCCTATCCTTTGTAGCTCTTAGAAATGTTTGTCTTTTTACTATCCTTCCTACATACTCGTTCGTAAGTATATTACTCGCCTTCAATATGTCCAATGCCTGTGAAATTTCCTAAGTCGTCTTTCTTCATCTTAGAATTTTTGTCTGTTTCTACTTTGAAGTGAATGTCTTTTACATCTCTATTTCCTGAAAAAACGTCATTGTTACCACTTGCTCTTGCCATAATATTCTCAGTATCCTTCTGCAGAACCACATTTCTATTACCTTAAGTCTCCTGTTCATTTTGTGAGGAAATTGTCCAGCCATATAGGACGATCAATATTCCATCTCTTTGTTTTTAGAGGAAATTTTCCTGTTTCTTTGTGCTTTGTTTAGCTTTTTGGTAGACATCTTTTGCTATTTCAATTCCGATTTCGTTGTTTCATTTTCTTTCGTCTTTTATAACACTTTTCAGATATTTAAATCTCTGCACTTGCTTGATTTTGACTTCTTTAATTTGTAGTCACATCTTTCGGTGTTCCTTTTACTGACAACTTTTTCTTGATTTCCTTTACTAGTTTGTCTAGGAGTTCTTGTAGTTTTCTTTCTGTGTCTGCCATCGGTATCCTACAATTTGCATTTCTTCTTCTTCTTCTTCTTCTTCTTCTTCTTCTTCTTCTTCTTCTTCTT